GGCTGGCCCACCTGACTCCCAGAGCCCTAGGTGATATGCAGAACCCAACCTCCTCTCACCACCTCCATTGCTCCCCATTGGTCCAAGCCCCTCTCTCTCTTACCTAGATACTACGGTAACCTCCTAACTGGTCTCCCAAGTCCATACTTGCTCCCTTTTCAGTCTACTTCCCACCCAACTGCCAGATCATGTCTCTGTATAGAAGCTTCCAAAGACTTCCCATTACAACAACTCCTTGCAATGCCCCACAAAGCCTTCTGGTCCCTTCCCTCTGACCTCATGTCCTACAATGTTCCCTCCTCTCCAGCCACACTAGCCTCCATGGGTTTCCACCAACACTAAGTACACATCTGCCTCAGGGCCTTTGCACTTGCCTGGAATTCTCTTCCCTCAGATAAATACAGAGCTCATTCTCTCAGTTGCCTCAGGTCTCTTAGAGAGGCTGTCTCTGACCACCCTATTTAAAACAGTACCGCATCCTGTATTCTCTAGATCTGCAATGTATGTGTGTTTATTTATTGTCTCCCTTCCCCCCACCCCCACACACTATAATGTAGACTCCATGAACACAAGGACTTTGTCTCATTTACCATTGAATTCCTGGTGCCTGGATCAATGCCTAGCACATAGTAGGTGCTGAAGAAATAAAAACTTATGGAATAAAATGAATCCTAAGTCTTCATTTTCAGCCCAAGTGTTTTGTCTGGACTCCAGGTTTGTACTTTAATATGCCTCCTTATGATCCTCCCCCCACCACCTACCCCCCCTGCCCACCCAGAGCAACTCATACCAAATTCAATGGGGCTTTCCTAGTCCTGCTTCCTGAATTCTGTTCCAGTGGGATTCACCAGCACTTATTCGGCCACCTTAGCTGGAAGGAAGGGTCAACCTTGACCTCTCCTCCACCTCTCATTCAGGCCCAAGTCTGGCTAGTGCCACCGCTTACATCTTTCCAACCCACCCCCTGAGATCTACAGTCCCTCAGCTACCTCTTCCTTGTGGTCTCCTTCATCTGGACACTGCAACAGCCTCCTGGATGCTCACCCACTTCAGACCGGCCTGCACACTCAGATCTGAGCAGACTCTTCTTGCTTAAGGCCTCTGAATGGCTCTCCAGCTTGCCACAGCCTCCGAACAAAGTTCAAATCCCAGGTCTTTCCATCCAATCTGTAACACCCTGGCCTGCCACTTTCAGGTTCACCTACACTCCAAGCCCACTCCAGCCAAGTTTGCAGAATCCTTCCCTCTAACTGGCTTGCCTTTCCCCACACCTTCCTGGGGAACTACCCATCAGCTTTCAGATCTCCCTTAGCAATCTTTATTTCATTGCTCTCTAGAAGACCCCCCTTGATCCCACTTTGCATATCTCTCTGTCCTGGGGTTAACACACTTTGCTTTAATTGCTGGGTTACATGTCCATCTTCCTTCCTAGGATGTGAATAACTTGGAGACGGGGGAGTCTTAGCCATCTTTGTAACCTTTGTGTAAGTCTACACAAAATGCCTCCAATCAATGTTGGATTGATGCACGGAGAGATAAATGAAGTCTACAACTTCCTGTGGCCTGGATGGCTTGTTTTGTAAGGTGGTGAGCTTCCCGACATTGCTGGGGGTAGTCAAGAAAGAGGCGGGTGGGCTTGTAGGGTAAGTAGCCTGTCGAGAATTTTCCCCGGTTCTAAACCCTCCTCTCCCATTCCGTATTCGTTCTCTACTTCCTAGAGCGCTTCCTTTTGTGAGCCAACTCCACCACCAAAGATACTTCTGGACCCGCTTCCAAACAACACTTCATTACCCTCCAGGGCTTCTAATCCTTCTCCAAACTGTGCTCTTCAGAATGCCAGGCCTGCATCTGGCGTCTACTCCAGGTCCCTATTCTCCCGGACCTTTCACCTCTCTCTGGCTCCGTTCTTGGCCCTGCCTATATTATAAACCCACCTCCGAATCCCTGCCCCCCGAGGCCCCCAAGCCCACCACACCTCCACGATGTTCTCAGGTCCCTGCCCGCTAATGGTCACCAGCTCCTTGTGTGCCCCACCCCGCCCCTCTCCAGTTCAGTGTCCCCAGACCCTGTTCACCTGCTGTCCCCACCCCTTTCGATTCCTACCACGCCCACCCCCTCCTGGACTCCCAAAGGCGCCCCTTCAGGAGGCGGGGGCCACCGCGGCTGCTAGGGCGTCGCCTCCACCTGTAAAGAGTCTTGCGTGGTGCGAGCTGGTCCTCACTCAGGCCCTGCGCGATGTAGTAATCGGCGACGAGGCCGAGGATGCGGCCCCAGAAGAGGACCCGATCGTAGCGGTAGTCGCGCTTCACCAGCATAAGGGAGGTGAGCAACGAGGCCCTACGGTCGGGGCTGAGCCCCTGCCCGCTGCCGGACGCCAGCTCCAGCGACAGCAGGAGGCTTTCCGCGTCCATCGCGCCCGCGGCTCTGATCAACGCCCGCCAGGTTGCTAGGAGAAACTATCTCCATGGTGACCCAAAGCTCTGCCCTCCCGCCGGGCAGGAAGGATTCCACCCGCGCGGCCCCGCCCACTCCGACCTCAGGCGCGCCCTGCTCCCCACACAGCCCTTCCTTCTCCCAAGCCTGTACACACACCAGCTCCTGTCCTCGGTCCTTCTCGCGTTGGGGACCGCACGTGTTCTGCTGTCACGCTAACAGCGTGGCTTCCCCTAACATAGGTAGCCTTCGTGTGGGATTGAAGGTCCCCAGTTCCATGGATATTTTTGCCTTTTCTGAGCCTTTCCAACAGTTGAATTGAGTCGTCACTGTATATGCAATGAGGGCTTGGGAAGACAGACAACCCGACAGTGACGTTAGCTATATTCTTTCACTTCAATTGCGTCCCTTCTTGGCCTCAGAATTGAGTGAAGAAAAGAACTTGAGGTCTTGGCTCTAAAAGTCTAGGAATCTAAAGCAATTAGCCCCCATCTATGCCAGGTCCTACAGAGTGGGGTCCATTGTTCCATTCTCCTCAGTCTTCATGAGAGGTCTCTATTCACCCCTTCCACAGGACTATTCTACCCAAGTGACAAACGGAGATCTAGGCACTGGGGCAAGGCCCACACCCTGGGGGAGCAGTATGTGAAGAGAAGTACAAAAAGGATGACACCACCTCCAGCCTACATTTAGCTACTTGGGCCCCACAACTGTTGCTTTTAGGCCCAAATGGTAGCAACACAGAAAAGGCCAGGACCCCACTGCAGCTGGGGCTCTTCCCTCCCTGGGTTAGAGGCTCCTTCACATCTACCTCTGGAGTCCCCAGCCAAGGTCAAACAGGTGAACAGATGTCTCAGCAAGCTTGTTGTCAGGGAAAGAGATGGGATTTGTTGACTTTTTTTTAAAGATTATATTTATTTATTGGAGAGAGGGAGAGAGAGAAAAACAGAGAGGGCATCAGCGGGTGGGGAGGGGCAGAAGGAGAGGGAGCAGCAGACTCCACACTGAGCAGGGAGCCCTACACTGGGCTGTCGTTAATATTAACTGACCTTTTCATTTCTGGATTCCTTTGGAAAGGACTCATGCAATCAGAATGACGTGGTCCCCCGTGCCAAGGCAAGAGAGAAATAAGTGTCTAAATTACCCAGATAATTACTTTGTTTTGATTATCTGGGCATTGCTTATGAAGGCTTTTAAAATTTGAGGGAGCTGACTTGGCCTAAGGTGTTTTCCATGTCAAAACAATCTGTAACTCTCTTGTCCAAAACTCTCCCTCCCCTTACAGCCCTCAGCCTGTCCATTCCATTCCCAAGTGGGAGATATAGCTCTGCTCCTCTTTCGTAAGGCAGTATCCTCAGACCAAAAACCAGCTGAAATTCTAACTGGTAAAATATGCTTCAAGTGGCCATAGCACCAAAAATCACCCAAACCTATACCGTTCTCATTGATTCCAGATTTTCTGACCACTTTTTACCAGCAGGTTCCCTCTCAGGAACTACAGTCTAAAGCCAGAGAAGGAGTCTTGCAGCTTTCCAATGCTACCACCTTTGGCAGAGTGAATCTGCTTAATTATTTCAGAGTAAAACCCACACAGGCCATGCAGCACTATGCACAGCACTCAGCCTCTAGAGCTGGGTGGACTGGGTTAGAATCCAGGTTCCTCCACAAAGGCAAATTATTCTATTTCCCCAAGCCTCATCTATAAGATGGGAACAACACATAGTGTGGAAGGTTGCTACATGAGATAATGTATGTAAAGTGCTTACAACATAGTATAAAATTTAAACCATGTTTTCTGTTTTCTTAACACAAAACATTCTTCTTAAGACATAAAAAATAGTATTTATACTGTCCCCATTTACACACACACACATGCACACGCACACACATACACACAACCTACCTATCTCCAACACCAGCAGGGTAAGGACTATGTCTTCAATTTGTTTCCAAGACATAAGCAGGTGTTCTCAGGGACAAAGAGCATCAGTGCTTAGTAGTCAGGATGGGGACAAGCCCAAGAGAAGAGCAAGGATCAGGATGGCCAAGTCAGAGGCACAGCTGCGGAGGAAGTGCCGCAGGCAGGAGAGCAGGGTATGCCTAAGGACAGTGCTGCCAGCAGGAACCGCCAGCAGCCACCAGTCACTGCAATGGAGACACGCTAGGCAGAACCCCTGAAGGGACATCTGGGCTCAGAAACTGTTCCCACGGGCTTTGGAGCTTGGCCAAGGCCCTCTCAGTTTTCCTTTCTCAGCCTAGTCTCTCAGCTCCTTTTCCCCTATGTGACCTTTGGCACACATACTGTAATGATCACAAAAACCCCTACATGGCGAGGAAAGGAGGTCAGGCAAGGAGGTAACTGATGAGGACTCTAGTCCCAGCTCTGACATCAAAGTGTTACAGAACCTCGGCCAAGTCCCTTCACTTCCCAGAAGGGCCTAGGGTTTATGAAGAGAAAGAACCATTAGTTAAAAAAAAAAAAAAAAAAAAAAATCCTAGAAACCCTGAAGCATAAGACGCCAAGGAGAAAGACGAAATACTCTAGTTTTAACCCTGGGAATCTTTAAGCCGAGAGTTACAGGATAATTTAATGCAAATCCATTCATTTTTATATTTAAGTTCATTATGTCCCTAGCAAAAATTCTGAATTGCCACAGCAAAAAGCATTAAAGGGCCACTTCCATAAAAGTGTCCGTCTATGACCCCATATTTGCCTTCCAACCAGAACAGAAATGCCTGACCCAGCACCTTCTGGGAAAATCAACCTTTGATTCAAAGAGATGTTGTTCAGTGATAATTATGACAGCCACAGCCATACAATCAGCCCACCAGGAAGTCTGAGGAGGGGAGGCAGGCAGCTGGAAGGACAGAACATTCCTCTCACCAGGAAGCAATTCTAGCTCCAAGCAAGAGATGGGTGACTTGGCACCATAGGGGGAAAGATAATTAAAGCCATTGTGTTCACGATGAAGAAGCAGCCCCATTCACTCATGGAAGCCTTTAAGTGTCACTGGTGCCTGGAACCAAATGTAATCCTCCCAGGCTGTGGCTGGGATAGAGGGTCTGCCACAGGACAGGGTCACAGTCAGTTTGTGGCCCCGGGTGGGCACTCGGTAGTTGAGCTTGGGTCGAAACCAATCTTCTCCACAGTCCCGGTGCCCCTGTGCCATGACAATGGTGCCCATGAGTGGAGGAGCCTGTAGCTCACTGAAGGCATCAGCCATGAAAATGGCTCGGAAGAGACGCCGCAAACAAGCCGCAGTGCTCAGGCTCTGGTCCATGCTGTTGGGGGCCAAGCGGGACAAGTCAAGCTCGTAGAACTCCTTGGGATTTAAGGCATTGCCACCAAGGAGGATAAGCACACGGGGTACTAATGTCCGGGCAAAGAGACCCTCTAGGTGGCTGAGGACACTCTCCAGTTCTGCCAGGGCTTGTTGGCATTTCCTGCTGCTCACTTCAGCGGCGGCCCAAGCTTTCTTCTTCATCGCATCCTCGGCCTGTGAGGACAAAGACCAGTGAAGGGAAGGACGAGATGGGGGAAGCTAATGCCCTTTGAAGAACCCTGTTGGGATGCAGTAGACTTCTGGAACTGGGTTTCCATGGTTACGACACTGGGTTTTTATCAGAGGGCAATATATTTAAAAAGAAAAATGCCTTCTTTGTACAAAACCATACTTTTCCCATGCTCAGAACAGCAAAGACAGTACTGTGAAACAGGAGGACATCCAGAAATAAGAAATTAAAATAGTCAAGGAGATTTGGTGGCATGCCAGGTGGCAAATTTTGCTATGCCATAAATGACAACAGGAAATGAGGATAATCTGGCTTAATAAAGGTGATTCTAGAGTTGGTCTTCCAGTTAAATGTGGAAAATTAAACACATGCTTATTTATGGTCCCATCTAAAATACTACTAAATGAGAGAAAAAGGAAGGGAGGGAGAGGAGAAAGAAAAGGAACTCCCAGGGGCAAAGAGAACTGGGAAACAGACAAAGGCAACCACACATTTTTGGGAAGCAGAAGGCAGATGGAAAAATTCAAGGGAGCTGAATACCAAGTGCTAAAAGAGGGAGCCCCTATGAAAAGCAAACCGATTCACACACACAATCCCAGAAGGGCTTAGGAATTGGCAATTTAGGTACCACAGAAGAGTGAACAGAGGAAGACTGAGTGAAAACCCACGTGAGAACCCTTAGATCGTCTCCCAATTTCCTCCACCCTGTCTTCTCCAGAGAGAAGACTTCCCATACTGATGTTTTGGGAGTCCTCCAAAGAGACCGCTTGGTTCCTACCCAATATCCTCAGAGTGAAGTCTACGGCTCACAAGGTCCAGCCATGCACACAGAGCTTTCATTGACTTCTTCTTACATATTCACCAGACACAGAATAAAAGCCTCTAATGTGAAAGTCAGAGACCAAAGCAAAGAGGAAAAGGAATCCCGAAAAAAATAAGAAACTGAAAAGAACAGAGTAAAACTTCAAAAAATAAAGTAATTAGGGGCGCCTGGGTGGCTCAGTGGGTTAAAGCCTCTGCCTTCGGCTCAGGTCATGATCCCAGGGTCCTGGGATCAAGCCCCACATCGGGCTCTCTGCTCTGCAGGGAGCCTGCTTCCTCCTCTCTCTCTGCCTGTCTCTCTGTCTACTTGTGATCTCTGTTAAATAAATAAATAAAATCTTAAAAAAATTATAAAAAATAAAAAATAAAGTAATTAGGGGTGCCTAGGTGGCTCAGTGGGTTAAGCCTCTGCCTTCAGCTCAGGTCATGATCCCAGGGTCCTGGGATCGAGCCCCGCATCGGGCTCTCTTCTCCATGGGGAGCCTGCTCCCCCCGCCCCCGCCTACTTGTGATCTCTGTCAAATAAATAAATCTTTAAAAAAAAAAACAACCCAATAATTAATATCCCCACATAAGAGAAGATCATATAGACATGAAACAACAGGATACTATAAAAAAGGAACGTGAAAAAAATTAAAAGGAGCTCTTAAGACTATGATTGCAGGGGCACCTGGGTGCCTCAGTCCGTTAAGCGACTGCCTTCAGCTCAAGTCATGATCCCAGGGTTCTGGGACTGAGCCCCATTTTGGGATCCCTGCTCAGCGGGGATCTGCTTCTCCCTCTCTCTCTGCCCCTCCCTCACCCTGACTCAGTCTCAAATAAATAAATAAAACATCTTAAAAAAAAACCAAACACTATGATGGCCAAAAAAAAAAAAAGAAAAAAAATTACAGAAGTGTTCGAATATAAAGTCAAGGAAGTCCCCAGTAAGTAAAACTTAAAAACAAAGATGAGGGGTGCTCAAGTGGCTCAGTGGGTCAAGCATCTCCCCTGGACTCAGGTCATGATTCCAAGGTCCTAAGATTGAGCCCACATCTGGCTCCCTGCTCAGCGGGGAGTCTGCTTCTCCCTCTCCCTCTGCCGCTCCTGCTTATGCTCTATTAAATAAATAAAATCTTTTAAAAAAAAGAGAGAGATGAACATCTGGGGAGAAAAGACATTAAAATTAAAAGGTCAGTTCATGAAGTCCAAATGCAACACAGTAGCAGCTTCAGAAAATGAAAATGAGAAAATCCTGGAGGGGAGACTATCAAAGACTAGAGTGGAGAGAAATTAAAGCCATTGGGCTCAAACACATTCCTTACCACTGTTGAGGCTGACAGGGCCTGAAGATTCCTTAGAACCCCTTTTCACCTGCTTACCATGTACAGCCTCCCCACCAGCTTTCTCCCAAAGGCTGTGCCTACCTGGGGAGAAGGTTTTCGGTAGAAGTGCTTAAGCTGTTCATAGGGCAGAGGCAGTTGTTGGCGCTGGTACATGATATGCTTTAGAAGTTCACAAGTAAACCGACAGCAGCCTTCCTGGCTCACAGGCCCGGGAAACACCACTGGCACCATGCAGTCTCTGGGACAAAAGGGCTCCGAAGGGTTGGGAGGTTCTTGAGTAGACGTAGTCTCGAGTAGTTCTATCTGGGGGGCGTGGGTTTCCTCTGACTTCTCATACCATTCCAAATCTGGTAGGTGAGCCGAGGGACAAGGGAGACAAAAAAATTTAAAAGCCAAAGTCAGTCTTCTCATTCCCTTGTACTGGGGAGGGGACAGCCCGACACATTCCCTCCGCAAAACTCCTTGAGGGTGGTGGCGGGGAGATTCCCGACTCCAGTCGCCAAAGATCTAAGTCGCGACGGGATGGGGTGGGAAGAGAAAAATTCGGACGCTGTGACTAGGGCTCCGCTCAGAAAATGGAGGCCCTGATCTGGAGAAATTCGTTTACACTAAGTGTAATCAAGCGGGGTCCAGAACGCCGCGGAAAGGAAGACCGAGTGGGGACGAACCAATGGGATCCAGGACCCAGGGGGCGATGGAGTCCCTGGGGCCGAGCGGGAGCCAAGAGGGATGGGGCAACGAAGACGGGCCAGAGAATGGGCCGTGGGCTAAAAGACTGGATAGCGGCGATAAGGGAGAAACAAGTCCCTAAGGCTCCCCAAGCTCGGGACCCCAGGCCTTACCCGGTACTGCGGCCGGGCACACCACTTCCGGCTCCGGAGCCGCCATCACGACCGCCTCCCTCTTCTCCGTGCAGTTTGAATAGGCGCCCCGCGGGGTATCATGGGAAGCCCTCGCCTCCACTTCCGGCTCGGCCGCGACGAATGGGGGCGCGGCGAGGCTACAGTGGCGGAAGCCGGGCGGGGTTGGGATTTGATCCCTGTGCTCTCTCCGAACACTCTCGCAGGGGTACGCCGAGCCCTTCCCCCACAGGGAACCCACGCTCTCTCAGCCGCTGAGGTCGGCCTTCCAGGCGACACTTGCCCTTACGCACCCATTCTCTCCTGCGTTCATTGTTAACTGTGCACCTACTTCGTGCCAGGCCCTGTCCTAGGTGCTGGAGCCTCTAGCAAACAAGCAGGAGGCAGTTGCTGTCCTAAGGGGTTTGCTGCCTAGAAATACGATACCATGTGATAAATTATATACCGTGGGGTTTGCACGGGCTGTGTATAGAAGGACCGGCTCCCTAACCTAGATGGTGTGGAAGAAGGGGTGGTCCCAGTGGAAATGTATCCAAGAAAGTGTGACTTGTAGGATGAGTAAAAGTAAAGAGGAGGGCCTAGGTATCCTGGAGACCTTGAGAGACAAAAGCATCCTCCATTCAAGGAAAGAAAAGAGTTCAGGAGCGCCTGGGTGGCTCAGTCCGTTGAGTGAAGGGCTCTTGATTTGGGCTCAGCTCATCATCTCAGGGTCGTGACATTAAGACTGCTAGGGACTGCACTCAGTAGCCAGAGTCTGCGTGAGATTCTCTCTCTCCCTCTTCCTCTGCTCCTCACCTACTCACATGCTCTCTCTAAATAAATAAATAAATTTGATTAAAAAAAATTTTTTTAAAGGGACACCTGGGTGGCTCAGTGGGTTAAAGCCTCTGCCTTCGGCTCAGGTCATGATCCCAGGGTCCTGGAATCGAGCCCTGCATCGGGCTCTCTGCTCAGCGGGAAGCCTGCTTCTCTGTCTCTTTCTGCCTGCCTCTCTGCCTACTTGTGATCTCTGTCTCTTAAATAAATTAAAAAAAATTTTTTAAAGATTTTTATTTATTTATTTATTTATTTATTTGACAGAGCAAGACACAGCAAGAGAGTAAACACAAGCAGGGGAAGTGGGAGAGGGAGAAGCAGGCTTCCTATTGAGCAGGGAGCCCAATGCGGGGCTTAATCCCAGGACCCTGGATTATGACCTGAGCCAAAGGCAGATGCTTAATGACTGAACCATCCAGGCATCCCTAAGTTAAATTAAATTAAATTAAATTAAAAGGAAATAAAAGAGTTCAGATTATAAAGAGTTAAGGCTGTGGCAGATAAACAGGATCCAGATCATGGCAAAGTTTTTCAAGCATTGTTAAAAAGTTTGAACTTGATCCTATAGGGGGATGGGGAAGTTTTGAAAGCTTTAAGTAGGGAACAACATGATTAAATTTATAAATTTAATCTCTATACTGACTGCAGTATAGAGATTACATTACAGGGAGGATGAGAGAGGAGGCAGGGATACCAATTAGAGCTAGTAACTGCAGTTACCCAAGTGCATGGGTGAAAGGGACCTGAACTGTGGTAGTCACAGAGGAGTGGAAAGAAATCGATGAACCCTAGAGATATTTAGGTGGTCCAATGAGCATGACTTGGTGGTTGATCCCAGGAAGAGGAAAAGGGATAAAGACTACCAAGAAGACAAGCAGGTTTTTTAAGTTTAGCAACTTTATGGCCAATTGTGCCATTCGATGAAGGAGGAAACACTAGGGGAAGACCAGGTTTATTGGTGTGTGTGTAAGATAAAAAGATGAGTTCAGTTTTTGACAGGTTGAGTTTGCTGTTCCATTGGACAGTGAAGAGATATTTAGGAACACCTTTAGGAATAGAAGTGTATTAGAGAGTCATTGGTGTAGGAGTGTGTAAGATCACCCAGGGAGGGCATGTAGAATAAAGATGAGCTAGGATCCTGAAGACGCTAATGTTTAGGGGAAGAACAGAGAAAGAAGATCCTGTGGGGGAGACTGAGGAGTATCTAGAGAGGTGGATATAAGAATAGACAAGTATCAAGTCATGGAGGCCAAGAGGGGTGTGTCTCAGGAGGTAGGGAGCAAAGACCAAACACACCATAAAAGTACAATGAGTACAATACTGTGGTGTTGGTTCAGGAATAAGCAAACAAATAAGCAAACAGGAGAGAGTCCATAGCAGTGATGTGGCACCCAGCAGGGTGAGGACATGCGGACTGCGTACCCTTACTTCTTCCTCTTTCTCAACTCCATCTTTGTGGTAGCAGCTGTGGTTCCCGTGGTTCAGTCACCGAAATGCAGCTCTTTGTCCATGCCCAGGAGCTGCACACCCTCGAGGTGACCGGCCAGGAGACAGTTGTCCAGATCAAGGCTCATGTGGCCTCACTGGAGGGCGTCATTCCAGAAGATTAAGCCATGCTCCTGGCAGGCACGCCCCTGAAGGATGAGGCTACCGAAGGTCAGTGTGGAGTGAAGGCTCTGACCTCCCTGGAAGTAGCCAGCCGCATGCTTGGAGGTAAAGTCCACAGTTCCCTGGCCTGTACTGGGAAAGTAAGAGGGCAGATTCCCAAGGTGTCCAAACAGGAGAAAAAGAAGACAGGCCAAGCCGAGCGGGAGAAGCAGTACAACTGGTGCTTTGTCAAGGTCGTGCCCACTTTTGGCAAGAAGAAGGGCCAAAATGCCAACTCTTAAGTCCATTGTAATCTTAACTCTCCACAGTATAGCCACTTAGTTCAGTGAAAAACAAACAAAACCTTAAAAACAAACAAACAAACAAAAAACAAGAGAGAGTCCAGAAACAGATCCATGTATACATAGATTTTAATATTTGATGAAGGTGACTTTCAAAGCAAATAACTTGAGACACCTCCCTATTTATTTACAAGAAAAATCATCCTACTGCACGTCTTACATAAAAGTAGATTCTAAATGAATTAAAGATCTAGGGGCACCTGGGTGGCACGGTCAGTTTAGTCAGTTTAGTCAGTTTAGCTGCTTCTCAGTTTCAACTCATGATCTCAGGGTCCTGGGATCAAGCCCTGTGTCTGGCCCCAGCTCAGTGTGAAGTCTGCTTCAGGATTCTCTCTCTCCCTCTGGCCTTCCCCCTACTCTTGCTCATTCTCGCTCTCTCTCTCTAAAGTGAATAAACAAATCTTTTTTTAAAATGGATTAAAGGGGTGTCGGGGTGTCTCAGTTGGTTAAGTGTCTACCTCTGGCTCATGTCCTGATCCCAGGATCCTGGGATCAAGCCCAGAGGGCTCTCTGCTCAGCAGGGAGCCTGCTTCTCCCTCTCCCTTTGTGCCTCCCCTCCACTTGTGCTCCCTCTATCTCTCTCTCTCTCTCCCAAATAAATAAATAAAATATTTTTAAAAAATAAAGTGGATTAAAGATCTAACCATAAAAATAAACCTCTAAACTCCTTGAAGAAAATATGGGGAGTAATTCATAATCTAGGAGTGGGGTTACCCTAGGCATGATACAAAACCAAGAAAGTGTATATGCAAAGATTGCTAACTTTGAATTTATTTTTTAAATGTTTCTATTTTTAAAAGATTTTATTTATTTATGAGAGAGGGAGGGAGAGAGAGAACAAGCAAGGGGATTGGCAGGCAGAGGGAGAAGCAGGAGCCTTGCTGAGCAAAGAGCCCAACTTGGGACTCGATCCCAGACCCTGAAATCATGACTTGAGTTGAAGGCAGATGCTTAACAAACTGAGCCACTCACGTGTCCCTGAATTTAAAACTCATGTAAAGGTACTATACACAGAGAATAAATGACTAATTATATACCAGGAAAAACTCTCTCTGTGTGTGTGTGTGTGTGTGTGTGTGTGTATAATCCCATAGCCAAACACCTCATAAGCACCTTATAAGCAAACCCTCCAGGAAACCAAACACTTCTACTGCCTTCCATATCCCAGGACTCTGATCTTCTCCTGGACAGCCATCCCTGTTTAGTTTACTCCTCTGCCACCTTTCATTCCTATGGTAAGCTAGGTTGTTCAAGAATGGGATATCAGAATAGGTTATCCCCTCTCACCTCTTAAAAGAAGTTCTCCATTTAGGAGACAAGGGGATTGGGATGAACAAAGTGAAACTGTGCATGTTGGGTGATTGAAAGACCCAAGAAGATGAGAGGATGAGTGTTATCAGGCGAGTGCAGCAGGCCCTGGTTATCAAGGGAGCACAGAGCTAGTGGTGGTGAGAATGTTGGGGGAATAGTTTTGGCTCTCCCTTCCGACCTCCATCCTTCTTGACATCTCTTACTGAGTTCCTCAGTCTCAGCCTCCAAGTAGCAATTTTCCTGGCTGGAGTTGACTTCTGCAGCATTACCTTCCTTTCGCTGAACAGGGTTGAAAAGAGAGAAGTCATGTGTGCTTTCAACCACTGAAGACCACAGAATTGGCTGGATCTGCTAAGCCCTTTTGCAGATTTTGGTTCTTCTGCTGCCACGGCTTTGGGGAATTATGCCATGTGGACAGCAACTAAATGATCAGTAACCCACCTTCCCCCTTGTAGTCTTGAGGGGAAGCCATGGACTCCACCAGGTCTGAACCCTTGAAAGGATCACCAGAGGTAGGTCACTGTCGTTGCTTCTAGTTTTCCAGGGAAAACTGAGGTCTGGAGGGAAGGGTCGTTTTACTTCTTGGCTGTGTGAGAGCATCTCGATGTTTGGGAAAGAGGGGAAGTGGACATACGGTGAGTGGTGAATCATGAGACAGCCATGGGGCTAGGAATTGAACCCTGGCGTCCTGACTCACAGCCCAGCAACATCTTAACTGCTTCTCCACTCT